CCAATTAGCCCCATCTTACCTGATCCATCTGTTTTCCCACCTATTTTGCGTTCTGAAGCAGGAACAGAAATAGAGACTGAAGCAGAGGCAGGTAACAGGCAGAACTTCTTAAGCTGCTAAACAGAAAAAAAGCCCTGTGACACTTAAAACTGCCCTAACCAGCCAGAAGTTCTCAAAGGGGATAACTAAGGCTTTTAAAGGAGTTTTACTGGCAGGAAAACCTCTGGCCTGGTGCAAGGGGACTGCGATGGTTTGGGCCTGTGCTCCTACTCATAGGGCTGCTAAGCGATCAGAGCTTCCAGCAGGGGGATTCTCTCCAAAAATTCTCAGAGGTGGCCCAGGAAAACATGGACAAAGCAAATGTCAACAGGTTGAACCTGGGGATGCTCTGGAATAAGTTACCCAGGGAAGTGACTCAGTGAAAAGACGCTCAAGTACATTAGCGTGGTCAGCCCATCCTGCTTGATGTAGCAACAGACATTGAATCAGTGACAGCTGTTCTGCTGCCTCTTTTGCCTTTTCTAGAACTGGCATTTTAAACTGCAGTTATTCTGTTTTTTGCCTCTAGTACTTTATATGAAGTATGTCAGATATTCTGTATTTTTCAGTTAGCCTGTAGAGTTAAGTTACATCCCTACCTGAAGAGAATGGACACCAACCAGCCTTGGAGACGGGAGCCACAGCTAGACACACGGGACAGAGGTGAGGAGATCTGTGGTTAGAGATGGGAAACTGTGCCATGTTGGGCAAAAGCACTGTTTGAACTCAATGTATGGAGAAAGGGGGTGTGTGTGTGCTGGGGACAAAGAGATGAACGTCGCTGGCTCTGTCTACCAAGAAGATCACCCTTTCTCCGAGAACTGTATCTCACCCCTGCTGGAGGGAACTCTCCTCTCACCAGAGCAACCACGTGGGTGTCAGTCACACAGGTCACAGTCGTGCCACAGAATACACTACAGTGGAGGTCAGGAGACAGAACTGAACACATGCTCTGCCGTGCTGCTAGTAATCACGCATCCAGCCACATGAAAGCCTCCCCTTCCAAAGAATAAAGCTGAGTGGGGTTCCCACAAGTGCAAAGCAGGAAGCCCCTGAGCTCACCTCCTCCCACAGACACACAAAATTACAACCACTTACGAAAAAGACCAGAACCTATCAAAAGAGATCTTCTACAACTAAAGACATAATGAACGGACCACAGTGAGATGGGTTTGAGGGCGGAGTCGCAGTACAGCCAAGACCACACCCTGGGGTGGGCAACCCACGAACGGGAGAATAGTTACAACTGCAGAGGTTCTCCCCATGGAGTGAGGGGTCCGTGCCCCACATCTGGCTCCCAAGCTCAGGGGTCCTGCGTTGGGAAGATGAGCCCCCAGAATATTTAGCTTTGAAGGCCAGTGGGGCTGACTTTCAGGAGATTGCCCAGAGGGCTGTGGGAAAGAGACCTCACTCTTAAAGGGCACACACAGAGTCTCACATGCTCTGGGACCCAAGACAGAAGCAGTAATTTGAAAGGGGCCAGGGTTAGACCCTCCTGCTGATCTTAGAGAGCCCCTCAGAGAGGCAGGAGGCAACTGCAGCTCACCTTGGGGACACAGACACTGGCAGCAGCTATTTGGGGAGCTCGTTCTACCATGTGGATGCTGGTCTAGCGAGCACCTCTTGGAATCCTCCTTCTAACTTACTAGCCTCAGGACCCAGCCCCACCTCTACCCACCAACCTGAAGGAACCAGTATGGGGACACCTCAGGCCAAGCAACTAACTAGGTGGGGACACAGTCCCACCCACCAGCAGACAGGCTGCCTTAAGACCCTCGAGCCCACAGCTGCCCCTGGACACGGCCTTGTCCACCAGAGGGTCCAGGACCCGGCCACACACATCAGTACATAGGCACTAGACCTGGGAACCCCAGGGCCCTGCAGCCAAAGACCCCATGACTCAGCTCCACACACCAGTGAACAGGCACCAGCCCCAGAATCTCCTGGACCTTGACCCCATCCACCAGTGAGCCTGCTCTAGCCTTGGGACCAGCATCACCCACCAGCAGGCAGAGACATGCCCAAGGAAAACCTCAGCCCTGGAGCCTACAGACCCAGCCCACACACCAGCTGGGCCATGGCCCTACCTACCTTCAGGCCAACACCAGCTCTGAGACACACTGGGCCCCTCAGCCAGCTGCCCCAGGGTCCAGCCCCACTCACCAGCAGTCCGACACCAGCTCTGGCACCCCTGGGTCCTGCAGCTAGACCCCAGGACCTGGCTCTGACCACCAGTGGGCCAGCACAAGCTCTGGGGCTCACCAGGAGTGAGGCTGCCAGCCACCTTGTGACTCAGGCCTACCAACCAATGACCAGCAACCTCTACACAAGGAGGGCCTGGCCAGCAACCAGACCAGGGGCCAGCCATGCCTATGAGACTGCCCACACCTGTCAGCCTACCACAACAGGGGGACCCACAGTCCACAGAGGGGGCACCCCTAGAGCATCCAGCCCTGGTGACCGAGGGGAGTGTGCTGCCAGCATACACAGGATGTCTCCTACAGAAGGCCACTTCTCCAAGGTCAGGAAATGTAACCAACTTACATACACAGAAATGAAACCAGCAAATAAGGCAAAATGAGGTGACAGAGGAACATATTCCAAAGAAAGGAACAAGATAAAACCCCAGAAGGAGAACTAAGCAAAGTGGAGACAGGCAACCTACCTGAGAAAGAGTTCAGGGTAATGATTGTAAAGATGATCAAAGAACTTGGGAGAAGAATGGATGAACAGAGTGAGAAATTAGAAGTTTTTAATAAAGAGTTAGAAACCATAAAGAACAACCAAACAGAGATAAAGAATACACTAACTGAAATGAAAAAATACACTAGAAGGAATCAACAGTAGATTAAATGATACAGAGGAACGGATGAGCGAGCTGGAAGACAGAGCAGTGGGAATCGCTGCTGCTGAGCAAAACAAGAAAAAAGAATAAAAAGAAATGAGGACAGTTCAAGAAACCTCTGGGACAACATCAAATATACTAACATTCACCTTATAGGAGTACCAGAAGGAGAAGAGAGAAAGTGGAAGACAAAATATTTGAATATATAATAGCTGAAAACTTCCCTAACCTGGGAAAGGTTAAATAGACTTCTTGGTTGAAAATCCACAGAGAGTCTGAAACCCAAAAAGGACCACACCAACACACTGTAATTAAAATGGCAAAAATTAAAAATAAAGACAGAATATTAAAAGCAACAAGGGAAAAGCAACAAGTTACTTACAAAGGAGCTCCCATAAGGCTATCAGCTAACTTTTCAGCCAAGATATGGAAGCAACCTAGATGTCCATCAACAGATAAATGGATAAAGAAGATGTGATATATATAAATGTAAACACACACAATGGAATATTACTCAGCCATAAAAAAGAATGAAATTCTGCCATTTGCAGCAACATGAATGGACCTGGAGGGTATTATGCTTAGTGAAGTAAGTCAAGACAGAGAAAGACAAATACTGTGTTTCATCACTTATATGTGGACTCTAAAAAATAAAACAAATGAATGAATATTACAAAAAAGAAACAGACTCACAGATATAGAGAACAAACTAGTGTTTACTGTGGGGAGAGGGAAAGGGGGAGAGGCAAAATAGGGGTGGGGAATTAAGGGATCCAAACTACTATGTATAAAATAAACAAGCTACAAGGATATACTGTACAGCACAGGGAATTACAGCCAATATTTCATAATAACTATTGACATACATGGAGTGTAATCTATAAAATCTTTGAATCATTATGTTGTACACCTGAGACTAATAAAATATTGTAAATCAATTATACCTCAATAAAAAAAGAATAAATATGATATGCAAAAACAATAAAGAGAAAGAAATGCAGAAAATGTCCTGGAGACAATTCTTCATCTTGAGGCGTCTCCTTGCCCTTTTCTCCTAAGCTGTTAGACTCACTGTCCCTTGCAGCCACTGGAGTGCTGACAGAGAAAATGACATAGCCTAGCGGGCTAGTGTACAGACTGCCCAGAAACACGGTGGGGTGCTCCTACAGAACTGGGGACAGCAAGGCTTGCTCAGCATTGTAAGTCAGTGTAAAGCTACACTGTTACAACGTTTCTCTTGATTGTACCCTAATAGAATATGCTAATACATTAAGAAAAAAGGGCCCAGCACAGGAGGAAACAGCAGGACTGTCCATCCCAGCACTGCATGTCTGTGTCTGGAGGTGGATAGAAATAATCTAGAGCTATAGCCTAATTCTGCATTAATTCTGCATGAAAGCTGTTAATTCATGCATTAACAGCTATCTTAGTCTATCCAACTATATACAATTGCTATTTCATACTCTGCAAGGGCTATTCTAAACATAGAAACAGACTCCATTCCACTCAAACTTCCAACATCATGTGTCAGTAGATAATCCTGTCACATGGGCCTCCTTCCATTTCCTAGGACGAAGCACACTACACTCACCTACACTGCACCCGTCCATCTTCCACAGAAGTCAGCATTCCACGTGTGCTTGGATCTCAATTCTAACCCTCCCTGCTTTGTCTCAAGGATCTCACACTATTTATCATTCTATGTGCTATAAATCCAACCTTTCCTTCAACCACCAGAAAATGTAAACTCCATGAAGACAGGGCCCTTGTCCATTCTATATACTACTGTATTTTTGATGCCTAGCACATAGCAGGTACTAAAAACTATTTGTTGAAGGTGAGAATAAATAAATGAATAAGAGGTTAGAAACAAATGGTCTGTAAGAAATCTTCCAGTTCTGAAGTTCTATAATTCTACTTGCAGAAGATAAGGTGCATAATGGTTTTCAGATTTAGGGTTAGAGGCTTTACCAAATTTCAATAATACTTTTCTAAATAAACATAATACAATTTTTCTTTATCCCTTCACTTTACTTCAGATAAATTCACTTTAAATTTTGAGCCTATCTTAAAGACGAAATAAATGAAATAGAAAATGTCAACAAATGATGCTTACTCTTCTTTCCATCCATATCTGCATGGATTTTCCGAGCCAAGAAACCACTTTTGTACACAGCAGCATTTGGGTCGTGAGGAATGTCCAAGAATGGGTTGGTAGTACTCCCAATACGGCTGATGGTCTTTGGATGTGTTCCATTAGCCTTCTCATCAGTACCTTCTGACGGAGACTTTTTTTTCTCTTCATCATCTCTAAAAGGATAAAACAAAGATTGAACACACAGGTTGAGTAACACAATATTCAATGTGAACACTGTGAGTAACACAATATTCAATGAACAGAGTTATTTGGTGTAATAAACTATCATATTTTCTAATGGTCTATCAGTCTTAATAACAACGACCATGATAAGAATAACTGCGGTTCACTAAACATCTCCTGTGTGCCAGGTATTTATGACCATGACAGTCTTGTAAGACTGATATTAGTATCCTATACCACAGGTAAGGAAAGAGACTCAAAGTTTAAATAAATATGCCAGAGCACAGACCTAGGAATTAAAGGAAGAGACAGTGAGGATATGACTGCAAAACTCTAAAGCCTCTGGTCTTTACACCTACTACAGAGCCTTCATGTTTGTCTTCTTTCAAACAAGTACAAGTTCTTTGGCAGAGATCATGATTTTGATTTTGATTTCTGCATGGCCTAGAATAGTACCAAGCATACAGAATACGACAAGTACAGATTAAGTCCAGTAAACAATATTGGACTATATCTGCCAAATAACCAGGTAATCTCTAATATCAAAACCTCAGGTAAAGCTACCAATGGGTTAGGATGGGGGTGCCATCCACAGTGCTTTGGCATCTTACAGCTTTCCAATCGCCATTAAAGTTTGGCGCACCCTATCACTGACCGAGAAAACCCCTAACTGCCCAGCCCCTTTTGAATCCCCGTTCCTTCAAGCAGGGAAAGTTGAACGCTGAGGTTATAATGTACATGAAGTATGAAGGAGGTGGTCACATTCAGCTAATAAAGAGAGGGGAAGATTAGAAGAAAGCTAATAAGCTCTGATATACTGCTGGAAAACACATAACCAGAATAAGAGCATTTGTCTTAGTTCTCTGGTTTTAATGTCCTGAATCATCTCTGGTTTCATTGTTTATTAAGCTTTGAATACTGAATCTTTTTATAAAACTTCAACCAAAATAACCACCACCAAAATATATTTAAAATAAACCACAAAGCTTAACAATCATCAAAAGTGTTTATTTGGGGGCTTTCCTGGTGGTGCAGTGGTTGAGAGTCTGTCTGCTGATGCAGGGGACGTGGGTTCGTGCCCCGGTCCGGGAAGATCCCACATGCCATGGAGAGGCTGGGCTCGTGAGCCATGGCCGCTGAGCCTGCGTGTCCGGAGCCTGGGCTCCGCAACGGGAGAGGCCACCACAGTGAGAGGCCCGCGTACCACAAAAAAAAAAAAAAAAAAAAAGTGTTTATTTGGTTATCAGAGTAAAACAGACATTTCTCCCCATTGGTATTTTATAAATAATTGTGAGATATATGAAAATAACACTGAACTCAGGCAACTATACCTTATTTTTAATTTTATTTCTAGATAATTTTGGATTTGCAAAGATAGTACAGAGTCCCCTTATGCTCATCATCCAGTTTCCCCAATGTAAACAACTTTTATTTTCTTTTGGCCATGTCACGTGGCATGTGGGATCTTAGTTCCGATCAAACCCGGGCCCCCTGCAGTGGAAGTGCAGAGTACTAACCACTGGACTGCCAGGAAATTACCCCCAATGTTAACACCTTATAGAACCATAATAAAAGTGTCAAAATTAAGAAATTAACAATACAATACTAAGAAGTAAACTTCAGACTTTATTCAGATTTCACCCATTTTTTTCACTAATGGTTTTTTCTTTTCCAGAATCCTATCCATGACCTCACAGTGCACTTGGCTGTCATGGCTCTTTAGTCGCCTCCAGACAGTGACAACTTTTAAGCCTTTACTTGTCCTTCATGAGCTAGAAAGTACTAGCCAGTGATTCTGTAGGTTTGTTTGATGTCTTCTCATCATTAGATTGAGGTTATACATTCTCGGGAAGGATACCATGGGTGATACACCCTCTCAGTACACCAGATCAGGAGGTATGTGTTTTATTATTAGTGAGATGCACCTGGATCACTTGGTTAAGGTGGTTTCTGTCAAGTTTCTATACTGTAAAGTTACTATTTTCCTTTGCAAATGATTTGGGGGAGATATTTTCTGACTATGAAAATATGCTGTTTCTCTTTAAACTTCTGACCACTAATTTTAGCATTCATCTGTGTATTCTGACTAAGACAATTATACTGTAGTGATCTAATGGTGATTTTTTTAAATTTCCCTAATTCCTTCTACATTATTCATTGGAATTCTTCTGTAAGTATGGACACATGGATATTTATTATTTGGATTGTAATCAAACACTACCATTATTTAATTTGTTGTTCAAATTTTTCCAGCTTTGGTCACTGGGAGTCCTATCAAGTAGGCTTCTGTGTCCTTTTATCATGCCTCATCCTTTTTCCTTTTTGTTTTGTAAGTATTTCCTTTCTTTCAGGTACCACAAGATGCTACCTCCAAGCTCATCTTGTATTTTCCTTGTCTCAGCCCCGGAAGCAACAACTCTACAAGGAGTCCCAGTTCTATTTATTGGAGAATGGTATTTAGAAACCAAATCCAGGTGCTAGGTGTGCTCACTGCCTCTAGGCCCTCTCAACAGACACACCTAGGGAAATACATAGATATTGCATATATATATATGTATGATCCGGCTATCCTCCCTCCCTTCCCATGAGCTCATACTGTTATCTCCAACCCAAGCCAGCAAGACAAAATTCATCCCAGCCTTTGCCTTTTGCTTATTTGTACTTCTTCAACAGTGAGAAACCTGGCTTTCTTACCTACAATCTATTTATTTATTTATATGTTCAACCCGAGTAAACAACGGGTTGTTTGTTATATATAACAACGGTTATGCAATTCATTTGGAAAACAAATTAATTTCACATAGTCTGAAATATATCTTGCATTCCCCATACTGTGGCTGATATTTAAGAAATGTACATACACAAAATGTACTCCTTGAGATGTACAATTCTATGGAAATACATAATGCATCATGTATCTACCATCACAATATCAAACAGTTCTGTCACCCCCAAATTCCTTCTGCTGCCTTCTTTTAGTCAATTCCTCTCCCTGACCAATTCCTGGAAACTACCTATCTCCCTTCCTTCCCAATAGTTTTGCCATTCTCAAAATGTCACATAAATGGTTTATTTTACTTGGCAAAACATATTTACGATTCATCCATATTGTTGTGAGAATCAATAGTTTGTTCACTTTCATTGCTGAGTACTATTTTATTTTATGGACATACTAGTTTATTTATGCATTTACTTTCCCCTACCCCACACCTCCAGCTTTACTGAGGTAAAACTGATGTATTTATTGTAAGGTATTATAAGTGTACAACCTGATGATTTGATATACACATACATCATGAAAGGTTCCCCAACATTGAGTTAACAAATCCAACACCTCACATATTTATTTATATATTTATTTTTGGTAAGAAATTTAAGTTTTTCTCTCTTAGTAAATTCCAGTTATACAATGCACTGCTATCAACTGTAGTCACCATGTTTTATATTATTTCTTCAGACCTTATTAGTCTTGCAGCTGCAAGTTTGTACCCTCTGAACAAACTCTCCCTATTTCCCCCACACAATATGCCCTGGCAACCACTTTTCTACTCTGTTTCAGTAAGTTAGACTTTTTAAAAAAAATCCACATATAAGTGATTCTATATGGTATTTATCTTTATCTGATTTATTTCACTTAGCATAATGCCCTCCAGGTTCATCCATGTTATCAAAAATGACAGGATTTCTTTCTTATTTTAGGGCTGCATAGTATACCAGTGTGTGTGTGTGTGTGTGTGCGTGTGTGTGTGTGTGTGTGTGTGTGTGTGTGTGTGTGTGTGTATCATATCTTCTTTATCCATTCATCCACAGATGGACTTTAGGCTGTTTCCATATTTGGCTATTGTAAATGATGCTGCTCTGAACATAGGAGTACAGATATCTCTGAAATAATTATTTCTTTTCTTTGGCTATATATTCAAAAGTAGGATCGCTGGAACATATGGTAGCTCTATTTTTAAGTTTTTGAGGAACATCCATAATGTTTTGCATAGTGGCTGTACCACTCTACATTTCCACCAACAGTGCACCAGGGTTCCCTTTTCTTCACATCCTTGCCAGCATTTGTAACCTCTTCTCTCTTTGATAATAGACATCCTAACAGGTATGAGGTGATATCTCAGGTGGTTTTGATTTGCATTTCCATGTTTTGTGATGTTGACCACCTTTTCATATACCTGTTGACCTCTTTTATGTCTCTTTAGAAAAAAATGTCTACTTAGGTCCTTTCCAAATTTTTAAACTGAGTTATTTGATTTTATGCTAATGAACTGTGGGAATTCACTGTATATTTTGGATATCAACCCCCTGTCAGATATAGGATTTGCAAAAATTTTCTCTTACTCCATAGTTGCCTTTTCATTTTGTTGACGGTTTCCTTTTCTGTGCAGAGCTTTTTAGTTTAACTTAGACCCACTTTTGCTTTTGCTGCCGAATCAAAAAAATCACTGTCAAGACAATGTCAAGAAGTTTCCTCCCTATGTTTTCTTCTAGTTTTATAGTTTCAGGTCTTATGTTCAAGGCTTTAATACATTTTGAGTTGATTTTTGTGTTTGGTGTAAGATGAGGTCCACTTTTGTTCTTTCGCATGTAGATTATCAATTTTCCTAACACCATTTAGTGAAGGGACAATTCTTTCTCTTGTACATTCTTAGCTGACTTGTGTGAGTTAATTTCTGGGCTATTGGGTTCCACTGACTTATGTGTCTGTTTTTATGTCAATACCATACTGTTTTGTTTATATTATTGTTTGAAAGGAATTGTGATGCATCCAGCTTTGTTCTTCTTTCTCAAGACTGCTTTGGCTATTTGAGGTCTTTTGTGGTTCTATGCAAATTTTAGCATTGTTCTATTCCTGTGAAAAATGCCATTGGAATTTTGATAAGGATTGCACTGAATCTTTAGATTGCTTTGAGTATTATGAACATTTAACAATACTAATTATTCAAATCCATTAGCACAGAATGTTTTTCATTTGTGTTCTCTTCAATTT